GACCTGAAAAGCAACATCATAAGTCTTGGTCAAGCTACCGAATCTGGGTGTGAAGTGAGAATGAAGGAAGATTACCTAATTTTATACGACAAAGAAGGAAAGCTGGTGGTAAAGGCAATTCGATCAAAGAATCGTCTTTACAAGGTACACTTGGAAGTTGAAGATACTAGATGTCTACAAATTTTAACGACAAAAGATTCAAAGTGGCACCTGCGATTAGGACATGCGAATTCAGAAACCATAAGAATGATGGCCAAGAAGGAACTAGTTATCGGAATAACTAGCCTACCACAAGAAAAGGAAACGTGTGCTTCATGTCTTCTCGGAAAACAAACCCGACGAGCCTTTCCTCAAACAACCGTTTTTCGTGCAACTCAAAAGCTTGAACTGATACATGGGGATCTCTGTGGTCCGATCACACCTTCAACAGCTGCACAAAACAGATATATTTTTGTGCTAATTGATGACTACTCCCGTTACATGTGGTCGCTTCTTTTAAAGGAAAAGGGTGAGGCATTCGAAAGATTTAAGAGATTCAAAACAGCAGTGGAACAAGAAACAAGAACCACTATCAAGACACTTTGAACGGATAGAGGAGGAGAGTTTGTATCACTCGAGTTTCAAAACTTTTGCGAAACTTCAGGCATCAACAGACATCTAACAGCTCCTTACACACCCCAACAGAATGGTGTTGTAGAGAGAAGGAATAGAACCTTAATGGAGATGACTAGAAGCATCCTAAAGCACATGAGTATACCAAATTACCTGTGGGGAGAAGCGGTTAGACATTCAACCTATCTCATCAACAGGATTGCAACTCGAGCATTAATAGCAAAAACTCCATACGAACTCTTCAAGGGAAGGAGACCCAACATCAAACATCTAAGAGTATTTGGATGTATCGCATATGCGAAACTAGAGACGCCTCATCTCAAGAAGCTTGACGATAGATCTCGGATCTTGGTTCATCTAGGAACAGAACCTGGCACAAAAGCATACTGCCTCTTAGATCCGATGTCTCGAAAGATTATTGTGAGCAGGGACGTAGTGTTCGACGAAGATAAGGTATGGAAGTGGAACAACACATACAGAGGAAACAACACCGAACCAGGGAAATTCTCACTAATTTTTGGAGAATTTGGAAATCATGGGATAAGGGAAGAAGAAATTGTGCAAGAAACTGGGGATAACAGAGTACAGAACGAAACCGAAGAAGGGGAAGAACTCGATGAGGATATATCAAGTTCAGAACCAGGAAATTTCGAAACAGAGGACAACTTCGAAGAAGAAAACGTCGAACAAGGACAGACTCACGAGTCTTTGACTTTGCGACGATCAACAAGACAGAGCAAAAGACCAGAGTACTTGAATGACTTTATCTGTCTTGCAGAGATCGATTGTGAACAACTACTGATGGTTATAAATGAAGAACCTTGGAACTTTGAAGAAGCAAAGAGAACAAAATAATGGAGAGAAGCTTGTAAAGATGAATTGTCTTCTATTGAAAAGAACAAGACTTGGAGCTTAGTTGATCTTCCAAAAGGAGCAAAGCCGATCGGTGTTAAATGGGTCTTTAAACTAAAACGAAACTCTGATGGAAGCATTAACAAACATAAGGCACGACTTGTAGCCAAAGGATACGTGCAGAGACATGGAATAGATTTTGATGAGGTCTTTGCTCCAGTAGCTCACATCGAAACAGTCCGATTCATCATCTCTTTAGCAGCATCAAGCGGATGGGAAGTGCATCATCTGGATGTAAAAAATGCATTCCTCCATGGTGAATTAAAGTAAGAAGTTTATGTTTCTCAACCTGAAGGCTTTGTGATCGAAGGAAGCAAAGATAAAGTCTACAGATTACATAAGGCACTTTATGGATTAAGGCAAGCTCCAAGAGCATGGAACAACAAACTCAACAAAATTCTTAAAGAACTGAGCTTTACAAAGTGTGATAAGGAGCCATCAATATATCGGAAACAAGTCAATAAAGATCTTCTCATAGTCGCCGTGTACGTGGACGACTTATTAGTCACAGGGTCAAGCTTGAGTACGATCTTCGAGTTTAAGAAAGGAATGGCTGCAAAATTTGAGATGAGTGATCTCGGAAAGCTCACTTATTATCTTGGGATCGAAGTTTTGCAGCATGACGAAGGAATAACACTTAAACAAGAACGTTATGCATCAAGAATCTTAGAAGAAGCTGGGATGAAAGACTGTAATGCCGCACACATACCAATGGATCCAGGCTTAAGATTATCGAAAGCAAAAGAGGAAAAAGGTGTTAATGAAAGAGATTACAGAAGAAACATTGGATGTTTACGGTATCTGCTACATACTCGACCTGATATGTCATATTGTGTTGGTGTGCTGTCATGGTACATGCAAGAACCAAAAGAGTCTCATGGTGCAGCACTCAAACACGTTCTGAGATATCTTAAAGGCACCTTAACACTCGGGCTAACGTTTCGTCGAGGAACTAGTTTGAGTTTGGTTGGGTATAGCGACAGCTCTCATAATGTGGACTTAGACGATGGGAAGAGCACAGCAGGATACATATTCTATCTCAACAATGGTCCAGTTTCTTGGTGTTCACACAAACAAGAAACGGTTGCAATGTCATCTTGCGAAGCGGAATTTATGGCAGCTATGGAAGCTGCTAAACAGGCCATCTGGTTGCATGAACTACTTGGAGAAGTCTCAGGATCAGCATGCGAGAAAGTGACAATTCGGATCGATAACAAATCTGCATTAGCTCTTACAAAGAATCCTGTATTTCACGGCAGAAGCAAGCATATTCACCGAAGATATCACTTTATACGAGAATGCGTAGAGAATGAACAAGTTGAGATGGAACATGTTCCTGGAACAGAACAGAAGGCAGATATTTTAACAAAAGCACTTGGGAGGATTAAGTTCAAGGAAATGAAGGAGCTTATTGGAGTCCAAGACTTGTCAAGAGAAGATTTCAAGCTTAAGGGGGAGATTGTTGGATTAAGCTTGAGAGAAGCTTGATCACCAAGTTTCCTAGATAGATTAGGAAAAGGAAAATTCTAGGAGTTATCTAGAATAATCTTAGGAGTTATCTAAGAATAGGAAAGTTTCTTTAACTAAAAGGTTTAGGAGTTATAATCTATTTTCTATATAAGAGATGCCAAAGTTGTGGTAATCCTTATGAGTTGAGAGAGAGAGATTAAGAGAAGCTTTAGTTTTGAGTTATTTTCTAAAACTAATAAAAAAAGTTGCTTTTATTCATATTCTTAATCTAAGTTCTTGATTCTATACTAGTACAAACCATTAACCACTATACTACAACTCCTAATCAGTTTCAAAACTATTTTATTTTATCGGATGTCCCCGAAGGGACAATTCAAAACTATTTTATATCTTTTCTTTTATCTATTCTGTTAACTCTTATTAATTTTTTCCTCCCGCTAAAAAACTCTTGCCGTTATTCACCAATCATATGCATAATTCCGTTAGTGTGTTTCAGTGGGATTCTGACTTTAGAATGTAGCTTCTCATTTGTCAATGGGGGAAAATATGAGCCTTTGGGCTAATACTTACGGGCTTTAACGGACCCAATAGTACATTTTATATTGTTATTGTTTTTGTTATAGCTATGGTTGGGTGGGTGAGCAAGAGAGGGAAGAAGAGGCGAATGATACAAAATTCCTCGTACTCTAACCACCAGTCAACTCAACTGAAATTATTGAATGCCCATGTTTCTACCTTATCTGTCCCTGCACACACACTCTTCAATCAGTCCTCTTCTCTCAAAATTTATCGCTTACTTTTTTTTCTCAATAATTCTTTTATTTTATCATTTTGTAAGCTTCTGGATCTTCATCAAATACCAAATACTGTATACCCAATTAATTTTGAGCCACTTGCAAAATATCTTCTTCTTATTCTCATTATTTAATTTGCTGAAATAGCATTCGTTTTTCTTTTTATTTACAACATGTCGAAAACATTTCCACTCAATATCTATGACGACATTTTGGATAAATAAATGAATGAACCTATGACGCTCATCACATATCATTTGTTATACGTTGTATTATTTTTTTTCAGAAAATTATGAGTACTTACAACAGTTTTCCGACCTGCAAAAGTTTATGTAAACTTGGAAAAGTTTAATAAAACATTTCAATAGCGGGTTACGGTAGATGAAATGCATATGTTTAGATCAGGTAAGTACCATATGTGTATTTGCTAATGCATCTATTGTTATATTTTCTTATTTAAAATTTTCTTCTTAGTTTTTGAGATATAATTAAGAAGTTTCCTAGTGACATGTTTTTATAATTCTACTGTGAGATACCGTTTCAGTTTGACAGTTGACCTGGATTTTTGAGATGTCATAGGTGAATTTGCAAAAAACGTTTCACTTGGAAAGGGTTGTTATTACATAAAACCTTTGATGTATGTTTTTTTTTTTTTTGGAAACCTTTGACTTATGTATTCTTGTGATGGTTTAATTGATAAACCAACCAAAAAATAGCGGATTGATGAAATGATTTTGTGATTCCGTATATTTATAGAACAATTACGTACTATAAGCCTATATATTTGTTTAGCTAATTCTCAATTATTATTGTTTTGTTACATTAACCTGAGTAATTGTCTTTTTGCCTGATAGAAAGCTCGTTAACTAAATCCGTATATTTTTGTTTATGTAATTTTGCCATTTCATCACAAAGATATCTGTCGGAGGCTCGGAGCCCATATCTTTCTATCTACAATCAGAACCATACACATAGTTTACGAGATATTATTGTCTTTTTATTTTTATTTTTTGAGGTCAAGATGAGAAATTATCGTCTACTTGTAAAAAAATATGGATAAGAGCGAGTTTTGGATTGGTGTTGTATTGGTAAAGCATATTAAATGCGAACCCTTTCTACATTTATGATTCCACGAGGACTACGAAAGCATCACCGTGTGATAATATCTAATGGAATTGAATAAATGCGGGACCAATTAACACATTGATGTGTTCTTCTTCTTCTTCGTCTTTCCTCGTCCAACTATATGTTATTAATAATTGACCATGCATGCCTATCTCAACCCACCGGTCCAAGTCAAACCTCTATTTATCTCCTATTCCCTATATATATATATATATATCATTTGCTTCTCGCAAACAACCTCACAAATAATCAAGTAACAATCTCTTTTGAAGAAGTTATGAATAAAATCCGCCTCCGCGCTCTTTCTCCGCCTTCTGGTAACTTTTCTCCAACGTCGATATATACGTTTTTTTGTTTAAAAGTAATAGTCTTGTGTTTTGCTTTTCACATGACCAATTAGTCACAGTTAAAGATCGATGTAGAACTTATAGATAACATATATGCACATGTGCACGTGTGAGTTTGCAACGAAATATCCGTTTTAATTTGTGAAATTAACTGAATCAAGAATTGCTAATCAATGTTTTTAGGATTGAAACGCCGTGCCAAGCAATGTAGAGTAAGAGGGAGAAACAACGCAAAGCTGGAACTTGAACAAAGCAACTTCTCTAAAGACGAAGACGATCTCATCCTCAAGCTTCATGCACTTCTTGGCAATAGGTTTTCATTCTTTTTCTTCTTTTTCTTAATTATTATTATATATATATGCTATGTGTGAATGTTCGTTATGGTACGTTTTCAGATGGTCACTGATAGCGGGAAGATTGCCTGGACGAACCGACAACGAAATAAGGATCCGTTGGGAAACTTACTTAAAGAGGAAACTCGAGAAAATGGGAATCGACCCAACCAATCATCGTCTTTACCATCACACCAACTACATTTCCAGGCGATACCTTAATTCTTTGCATAAGGAACATGAACCCAATACTACTAGTGACCAATCTTCTTCGGTATCCGAATCATGTGATGGTATGACGACAATATTACCCGTTTCAAGTACCAATTCCTCTGAGTATAGTACTAGTGCCGGACATAGCCGTTTGCCTGACCTCAACATCGGTCCCATCCCAATGAAGACCACGACTTCTTTGCCAGTTTGTTGCCTTCAAGACTCTAGCGAACCCTCTAACTATGGCTCTACAAGTCAAGAAACGCTTCTTCTTTTCAGGTGAGAAAATGGTGCATTAATTGTGAGATTGCAGAAGACTCTTTGTCAACTACTTGCTCAACCCCAAATTGCTCGGACGCTTCGGCGAAATCGGATGTGTGGTGGTGCTGCATCAGAAAACAAAAATGGTGTATTTGTTTGTACACATCTGGCTATATAATCCCTTTATATTACAAAGGCATCATATGAAAAAAAATATTCACTAGAGAGATAATAAATTGATGTTCGAAAATGTCCGGTTTTGTTTTTCGGTTGGATCATTAATAACCGACAATAACCGTTGAATCAGATCAACAATGTAAGAGAAATTAATATGCGCTGCACATTGACGGGACATGCTTTCCTCGACACTAATTAACTAACTCACTTAATGGAGAAGTATGTTTATAAACTTCTTCATCTTTCACACACTACACTTTTGCAATAACAATTTAAGGGTGTTCATTCACTAGATATTAAAGTGGTAACACTGAAAACGTCTATATTTTATTCTATTTTATTTTATTTTCCTCAGTCGTCATTTTTCTTTAACCATTCTGTTTTTTTTCCTATGCACATTAGCTGACCTCCAGGTCCAAGCAACAGGTACAAAGAGTTTGATTCTCAACGTTTTTTCTACCTAAGTTATTTTGTCTTTTCTTGGGGGAGTTTAATGGGTTAAGGAGTCGTTCATGTGAATTTAGACCTCGATGAGCTAGCTGTAGAAAAGGCAAGAGATGTTGATATGCCATCAAAACCGGAACCTCAAAGCCCAATTTTGAGGTTTTCAAAAGTAATAAGTTCGTTATATCCAATATCAACTATGAAGACGCTAAAAATTACAAAATCGCACACAGGTTGGAACACACCAAAACTTGTTCTAACATTTTGTTCATGCAAGACAGTTTTAACGAGATAGACCAATAGAACCCAACCATGAGGAGTTAAGCTCAGAGCCGACTTGGCCCATATCCTTGACCCGTCAAAGACCAAAGACCATTCATGAACTGACCTGGACCAAACCCAAACCAATCAAGACCACATGCTCACTCTATTGGTCTTATTCAGATATATTTAAGGCAAGTTCTATGACAGAATGTTTTGATGTTTAGGCAAATAATTATTCAGATATATTTAAGGCAAATAATTTAATGGACGCCAAATTATTTGAGACAATTGAAGGCTTCCAAAATGATGAGAACATAGAATGAATCAGATGTCTTCAAGATACAAAAGAGAAATAATTTATCATATTTGACCACGATTACATTTATTCTTGGTCAAATGGCATGGATATGCCTAATATTACTCGACCTTGAATTCCATCCAAATCGTATTCAAACCATTCCCACCAGTTATTCAGTCAAAGAAGCTTCCTATTAAATCCCGAAGACTAAATTAATGGCAAGAAAGACCCTAATTCAATCTAGATAATTTATCTCTTTTCATATAATTTGATTTAGCTAATTCCTTGCTTTATATTTATTATAAAACATATAGCTTTTATATTTTAGCTTATAAAAGGCTCAGCTCACCTCATTGTGAGGGCAACCATTAATCTGACAGTATATACCATTTTTCGTTTCTTTGAACGTTTTGTGCCTGATTCTTTATATTCTTGGAGTGTTTAGACTATAGTTTATTTCGTAATTTGTGTATCATCTCTTAATCCATCTTTATATATTTGTCCCACATCGGTAATATATCAAATATTAGGTTAATTGTATTGTGTATATAAGGCATAGCTTCTCTATTGATATTGATATGAAATATAAGGAACCTTTTATAACTTCTAAAAGATTCTTGTCATAGATCATCAAACCATTTGTTAATTCTCCACCAATATTATTTTTAAAATCAATCAACCTTGATCCTACATCAAGAAACTTTAAAAAGATCTAGTGTTGTTTATATAGCATCACAAGCATAAACCTCTAAAACCTTTCTAGTATTAGAGGTTTCTGCTTGTGCTTCTATAAAAACAATACTAGATCTCTCTAAAATTTCTTACAACCTCTGAAAGTTGGTCTTTGAAGTTCTGGTTTTGATAGCACAACAATATCTTTACGGAAACTGTTCAGTTTTATCATGGTAAAATTTGCTGCATATAACATAATTTAAAAAAAACCGATCACATTCCTCATAAGAAAATTTCGACCATATTCATAAACGACCAACAATTAGCCTGCACATTATAAACTTATGATGAAGAATCATAATAGATCCTCAGGAAATGCTGATACCAAAAAAATAGTTTTCTCTTTCATTTACTCGAAATATTCTGATCATAAATTAAAATTGTCTACTAAGCATATAAACGAAGCACATCAACATACTAACTGCCCTAAGTTAAATATCAGCTCATCAACTAGTACAAACACGATAACTTGATTTATTTGACTAAACCCTTAGGCTGTCGCTGTACTAACTGGACTAAGCATTTTAATTGGTTAAAGTTTTGATTTATGATATGGTTGGATTCATTACTGGTTAAAGTAATTATATTTGTGAGGAAATGTAGTCATATAGTGTGTGTCTATCATGTCTTTCAAATGAGTTTGTCTTGGATCCTGCGAAGAAAAAATTCAAAAGTATAATAATGCGGCACTGGAAAAACCACACTTCTACTTTTAAAAATAGATGGAATTTCTCCTAAAAAGGTGTTAAAAAAAGATTTCTAAAAGTAACAAATCAGTGATCAAATAAGTACACATAAAAATTTATTTAAGAAAAAGGGGAAAAGAAAAGAAATTTTGTATTTTCACCTTTTGATTTGGTGTAAGCCAGGTCATATACCAAGAAAGACATGTCAATACAATGCATCTAGCATATACAGAAATTCATGGTAGAAGAAGTGATTTTTTTTTTATCTAGCTTCATAAAGAAAAACTAACTAATTTGACCTTTTTATTACCATCTAAGACTATATAATATATATATATATATATATATATATATTTGGCCGATTCTCTCCTTTTATTCCTTACAACCCATTAGAACTTTAGAAGAGTATTCCACCACGAATATAAAATTACAACAATTATATAAGGTCATCTTTACAACCAAGCACGCAACAAACCATTTCCTTATACAAATATAAAAGTGTTTTTTTTCCTGAATTTAAAATTGAGGTTTGTATCCATTATATAAGGTTTGGTTGCAATACAAAATTGTAATAATTGAAAATGACAACTGTGTCCTCTTCTTTTTCTTCAACTTCTCAACTCTCACCGCGAATCTTGCTCTCAAATATCTAATTTGTATTGTATAAACTAAATATATCTAAAATGAAAAATCCAAGAAAAGTATAAAACCATATTTGGAATTAGACCAACTGGCAAAAAACACTTCCCAAAACGATGTCGTATTAACGACTTATTCTTTTTCCTCGCCACATGGCTTCGTTGGATACATAAAAGCGATACAGGCGCGTCTGAGTCAGAGCGGAGAGTCTCACTCCTATTTTCTATTTTTTATTTTTTGAATTTTTATCTTTAGTTTCCGGCGGCCGTATGCGACGGCGTAATGGCTGGAGTAGCCGTCTCTCCCGACTCTCTTCTCGGCCTTATCGCTGAAATCTTCGAGATGCCGGCGAATACTGGAATGTTTAAGAAGGACTGTGCCGATCTCGCGCGGCGAGTTTGTCTCTTGACGCATTTGATTGAGGAGATTAGGGATTCTCCGGCGCCGGAATGTGATGCTTCGTCTTCTTTAATTTCACCTGAATGTGATTGGTGGTCTGATCTTGTGGTTGGCCTCCAAGCCGCGAAGCGTCTTCTATCCTCAGCCACTAGTTTCCAAGCTCAAGAGTCCTCTGTAAGCTTTCTAGCCATTCTCAACGACTGTCTTCTTCTTCAGTATCACAAAACGAAATGAAGAATTGACTCTGTTTCACATTTTGATTTTTAGTGCTTGACTTCAAACTTGTATATCGTCTAAGATTAATTTCTCTGTATAATTGTGACCCATCTTATACGAATTACGCCGGAAAATGACGTTTTTTCACGGAGGATTTAGTCAATATATTCTCTCACTCACCGACGTGTTTTGCTTCCAGATGACGAAAACATAGAAAGATCAATCAGTTTTTCTTAGATCCATTCATTGGTTTCACATGGCAGGACGTACTTTTGAAGAAGAAGTTGTAACGTGATATGTTTTTAGTCTTTTGGATTGAAAGCTGTAGTTTTTGACATTTGTGTATTCATGAGCATCTCTGAAAACACATGAACAAGTCTCTAACTTGATGTATCTTGATTGAAGGATGGGGCTGCCAAGAGAATCTCATTCCAATTCCAATGCGTTACGTGGAAGCTGGAGAAAGCATTAAGCAATTTGCCATATGATCGGTATGACATCTCTGACGAAGTCCGCGAACAGGTAAAGTTCATTCTTGAGTATGCAGACCATGTGTTTTTCCTGTTCCTTGGAGCTGTTTCTAAGGTTCTTGCTTGTAATCAGGTGGAGCTAGCAAGGTCGCAGTTGAAAAGAGCAATGCAGAGATACGGGTCATTGAATTCAAAAAAGTTCTCGACTGCTCTATCTCAGCCAATGGAGAAAGATGCCTTTAGCAACGCGAAGAGTGAAGTTACTGAGAAGTTGGAGAGTATTCAAGAAACAGTGCATTCCAACATTCCTTCATCAAATGAGAAGAAACTTGAACCACCGCGTCCGAAGAGCTCTTCCGTTTCCTTGGCCTTCTTTTTATCAAAGGATGCTGATGATGAGAACTTGGAGAAAGCAGTTACCAAGAGCAACGATGACTCAAAGAATTCGGAAAATCTCTCGATCCCAGAGGATTTCCTTTGTCCAATATCTCTGGAACTGATGAAGGATCCTGCTATTGTTGCCACAGGACAGGTCTGATTCTTTTTAAAAATATCAAATCTTTATATAGCACTTATAATGATGTATTGTCTTGACAATGAGTCTTCCCTCTTCATTGACAGACATACGAGAGGTCATACATACAAAGATGGATAGACTGTGGAAATCTGACATGCCCAAAGACCCAGCAGAAACTCCAACATTTTACTCTTACTCCAAACTACGTTCTCAGAAGCCTGATCTCACAGTGGTGCATGAAGCACAACATTGAGCAGCCAGGTAGTGGAGGTGGTTACATGAACGGTAAAACCAAAAACCCTGATGGCTCCTTGCGTGATGTAACCGGAGACATGTCCGCGATTCGAGCATTGGTTCGCAAGCTCTCTACCCGATCAGTTGAAGACCGAAGGACCGCACTTTCTGAAATCCGGTGTCTGTCAAAAAGAAGCACGGACAATCGAATTCTGATTGCAGAAGCAGGAGCCATCCCTGTTTTGGTCAAGCTTTTGACATCAGACGACATTGAAACGCAGGAAAACGCTGTCACTTGCGTTCTTAACCTCTCCATTTACGAAACCAACAAAGAACTGATCATGCTTGCAGGAGCAGTCACATCTATAGTACATGTCCTAAGAGCTGGAACCATGGTAGCTAAAGAAAACGCTGCAGCTACTCTCTTTAGCCTTTCGTTAGCTGATGAGAACAAGATCATAATAGGCGCATCAGGTGCAATACCGGCCTTGGTGCATCTGCTTGAGAGCGGAAGCGCCATAGGGAAAAAAGACGCAGCTACGGCTTTGTTTAACCTGTGTATTTATGAGGGAAACAAAGGCAGAGCGGTTAGATCCGGTATTCTAAACCCATTGGTGAAAATGCTGACCGATTCGTCGAGCCACAGGATGGTAGGTGAAGCCTTGACCATACTCTCCGTTCTAGCTGGTAATGAAGATGCTAAAGCCGCGATTTTGAAGGCAAACGCAATACCAATATTGATAGATTTTCTCCAAAAGGATCAACCGAAAAACCGTGAGAACGCAGCGGCGATATTGTTTTCTCTTTGCAAGAGAGACACTGAGAAACTGATATCCATTGGTAGACTTGGAGCTGTTGTTCCGTTGATGGAACTATCAAGAGATGGCACAGAGAGAGCTAAGCGGAAAGCTAATTCTTTGCTCGAGCTTCTTCGCAAATCATCTAAAAAATTACTCTAGATAGCTCTTAACAAATTGAGGTTCGAATTAACTTAAAGCCTCTCTGTTTTAATAAAAATTAATTTAATTCCGTTGGCTGTGTGTCTTTGATCTGTTTAAGTTGTTTTTGAAGGCTAATTCCATTTGAGAAGGTGGAAGTTATAGAGTAATGAGTATCGAACTCTTTTACTCACCTTGTATTTATTTGTTAATTTTGTAATAAAAAAGGACAACTTGTTAAGTGACAAAAAAAGAAATAGACAACTTGTTAATTCAACATTTCATATGATTAATCAGAGGTCTTTTGATTTGATTTAGCTTCACGGGCTGGTTCACGTGCATTAGTTACTGTTTCTGTAAAGAGAAGCAAATTAGCTATTGTTAATCCAATTCGTCAAAAGTCAATCAATCCTTCACGTGCCTTTGGGAAGAATTGTTTCACTAACGAAAATTTCCAGATTAATCGGAGTGATTTACGCATGTCATTTTCCCCGAAACATGGGTCACAAAACTATGGTCTTAAGTGAAGAACAGTACACATTTTTGATTTCAATTGATTATTTGAATTCCCTTTCGATAATTACATAACTTTTTGGGTTGTTTTTGATTATCTTTTCAAGATTGATAGCGAAATGCGACGTAACTTTGTCTTCCCATTGTTTTTATATATTTCAAGATTTGGCATTTTGTTGACCTAAAAAAATGGTTTACTATCATCAGCAACCAACCATAAATCCAAGATCTATAATCATCTGATCTAACACAACACCCACCTTGAACTACTGAGCTCTTAATAGATACCTAACCACAAATTTTTTTTAATCTCTTTTGTCGACTTAAGATCACATTTTTAGTAACCCTAGAAAACATTTTTCTCTAATGGGTAATTCCTTGGGAAGCAAGAAAACTGCGAAAATCATGAAGATCGATGGCGAGAGTTTCAAGCTGAAAACTCCGGTGAAAGCTGGAACGGTGGTCAAAGATTATCCTGGCCACGTTCTCTTCGAATCTGAATCTGTGAAACATTTCGGAATCAGAGCAAAGCCTTTAGATCCTCACCAGAACTTGGAATCCAAAAGGCTTTATTTCTTGGTGGAGCTTCCCAGGTATTATATTCTTCAATTTCCCCTTGGGTTAACTAATTAGGTATTGTTTTTATTCGAGTAATTATCGAAACCTACATGACAGAACATGGAAAGAGAGAGGCCCAAGAAGGGTTCGGTCGGGGATCCAGATGAGTGCTAAGGAGAGGCTAGAGAATCTGAAGCTGTCTCGTAGATCATCGTCTGATCTCTCGGTAATGAAGAAGGAGGAGGTTGACGATGAAGAGAGAGAAGTGCTGAGTAGCGTGAAGTTGAAGTTACCAAAGTGGAAAGTGGAGAAACTGAGGAAAGAGAGTGAGAGTGGCTCTGATTTCTCGAACAAGATCACAGCACTTTGTCTCCTCAACATTCCAAGTGGTTTGATTCATCAGAGACAACATTTGCTTCGTAATGGACAGGAAGAAGCTTTGGGATTGGAGAAGAAGGAGGTGTCAAATCACATGAGGTGATCTATTCTTCATAGGTTTTTTTTTTTTTAATTGAAGATCAAAGAGAAAAAAAAAAAACACCGATCCGTTTCTCAAGCCACGTTTCTTGCTTCTTTAATTATGGAAATTGCCACTAGGAAACGGATGTGCTCCCCTACTTGTGTAACCAACTTCTAGTCTATATTATTTACTCTTTTATGGTTTAGAGGCACTCAAGTCACAACTTTTTGCCGACAATCCTCTCGTATACTAAAATATAAGTCTTTGACTTTAACAAGATCCAGTCAACGTTTAGGAGCTATAAGCTTTTTTTTTTTGGTTTGGGTCATTAGCTATTACGAAATTTTTGGATCAAAAATGTAGCCATATGGTAAGAGACCCAACAAAAGAAGAAGTAAAGAAACACACAACTCTGATGTAAAGGCAAATATCAGACAATACTTCATCGATCCTCGTCAAAAATCTTGATAAAAAAAAAATGTTTTCAACGATTAAATTTGAAGCTTATCATCTTCTCATATTTGTTTTTTTTTTGGTCTAATTTTCTCATATTTGTTACACATACTTTTGATGTTTTTCATGTGTCAACAAATCTTATAATAAGGACGAACTGCAGATATAAGAAGAAGAGAAAAAGGCAAATCATTAGTAATTTTTCGTTCAATTTGGGGGCTTTAGTTTAGCCGATAATTACAATTATACAATTCTGCACTCAGAGAAACCAACACACACAACACAGAAAAAAAAAAGATAAAATTAATCAGTCATGTCCAAACCTGTATATATCTGTCTGTTAAACCAATTTCCCAATTTTTTTTTTATTGTGGAAGAACAAATTGATATCAGTAAAACAAAAGAATGATGAAAAATGGGAATTTTCTCTTTCACTCAATCAAGAGGTCCATGGCTCAGGAACAGTTAGAAAATAAGTGGTCATGGCCTTTCGAAACCTTATCTTGTACTGTTTTGGTGAGACTATGGTTGGAGCTGCGTTCTTGGGTCCACCCAAAATGCCTGAGGCTTTAACCCAAGTCTCAAGGTGCTTGTCCCATGTGTACTGTCTCATGAAGTCGATGATCCCAAGAACCAGTTCCTTACGCTCTTCATCGAACCCAACCAGCAACGAATAGTCCATTACATCCACAGACTATAAGTAAAAACCAACCAGAAGAGGATCATGAGAAAAAACGGATTGATCAAAACACAAAGTACTAAGTGGCTTGTGTAATGTAATTTGTTATCACTTACAGCTAAGAAGTTTGTGTCGTTCCATATAGCTCTTTCCAGGCTTCTCTTGGCCTTGCTTCCTAGGAATATCGGGTCTGTGCGCAGTGTCTCAAGCAGGTTCATGTCTAGCAAAACTTTATCTGTCCCGGATTTGTTTGGATTGTACCGTGACCTTGCAGATCCCTTGAGATCGTAGATTCTGGATATTCTTCTGTTGTAGAAGAGATTCTCCATCACCATCAGATCCATTTTCGTCTCTTTTCCTCCTTTAGAGTGTTTAATCGAGACCTGCAAGCCAAACCATTCAAAACAATCATTCACATGCTCAAGCATTCCATTTAAAAGCAAAGACAGTTTACATTCTCTTTATTTGTAACTTACCTGGTAGATACCAAGAATCTTAGCAAGACAAGTGGGACTCCCGGAGCTAAGAGACTCCTTCATATATTTGAAGTATTCAGGTGCAAAATCCTCAAAAGAATCCAGCTCGGTTTTGACAACTTGTTTAATGATGAACCTCTCGTCCAATGACTTGGCGAAGTAAACATTGCTTTTCCCTCCCTGTGCACACCATCTCTGACACCGGCTCAAGGATCTCACGAAGTCCACTTCGCTCGGACAGCAAGTCTTTCTCAGAGTATCAAACTGTGTCGCAAAGTAACACGTCACGGAGAACTTCACCTTACCGTCAGTGGCAGCAGGGGAAGAAGAAGATGAAGAGCGGTCGCTGAAAGAAATCGTCAAATGAGGAGACTTTTTATCGTCTTGAGAAGATCCATACACGGCGTGGTGAATGTAATCAACATCCATCGCCCCAAGAGAACGCCAAGTCGAGAAGGTGGAAGGTTCGGATTCTCTGTTATTCCAGTTGCTGCCACTAGTACTACTCGGGATGCCTCTGTTAACAACCCACTCCTTATATTCCTTGGAATTGAGAGCATACGATACAACACTTGCGGGATCATCATCATACACAGGAATCACGATATCGTTAAGGCCACGTTGAGGAATTAGCATCCGAGCACCATCAGCCATCTGAGATGCCGAGGAGATGTATGTAAGCGCTGAACCAACAATCAGATCCAACTTCTTTACTTCCAGTGGCAACATTTGTGAGTATGTCCTCATCACATTTGAAACAGGGTCCCTCACCATATTCCTGTACTCGCCAGAAGCGTGGAAAGATCTGAGTGTCGAGAGATACAAAGAAGATGGTGGCAAACCTTTTTGGATCCGTTCTTGAAACCGTATCGCTGAATCAAACGACTGGACTCGGATTGGCCTGGCGAGCCTCCGGAGGGGAGAGTTAGCAGCTGAAAAGCCTTCTGTCTCGGCAATTGTCTCGGCTTTCTCTAGAGTATGAAACGAGCCCAACCAAGCAGAATCTATCCTCTCAGACAGAGAAGAGCCTGGGGAGAGCATATTTTCAAGATCTTTGTTATCATTATTAGCTTCTGCATCAGATTGGGACGCTTTTCCTTCCCCAGCCTCTAGACCTTCTTGCCGTCTACGGTCAGTCTTTGGAGGATCCTGCATCTCCGGATTCCGGGAAGCATTGTCACCACCAGTTTTTAAAACAGATGCTTTTTTGAGCTGAGAGTTTAACAAGTAAAGCTGATGGTCCCAAGCATGAGAACCAATCATGAGTGCCCGTCTCAGTCGATTCAGCTCTAGAATATCCAAACTCCCCTGAATTTGCAGATTCTCCAAAAAAATAGGTTGCAGCGCATCCTGTTCACGATGAGGAAGATTCCATCAAATACAATGCAACATGCAAGCAATCTTTAACAAAGAGAAACAGAAGGAACAGGAATGATGATGCTCACATCGTATTCATCTTTTTCCTTCACGAGTTGATCTTTTAATCCCACTATGCGACTCTGGAGATCAGAGGCTTCAGATTGGTCAGCCTCAAGTAAGCTGCTTTTCTCTTCCATGCGGTTGAGCATACCAGATATCTCCGCATACATACTCCGCATTTTACTCATAAGCTGTAGAATGCACAAACAGAAAGTATATATGAGCTTTGGCCTTTGCATATCCAAAACAGAAAGCAAAAGGGATTTAAAGTTATTTCTTAAAATCCACCTCGGCTGCTTCTGTCCGTATCCAATCTTGTTGAGGATGGCTGTTGAATTCAAGCATTGACGGGGGCAGGAAGACAGTAAGTATATTGATGGGAGAATACCTAAAGAAAGCAACCATGTTCCCAAATCTAAAAAAAAACAATAAAAGCCATAACATTATTAGTACTTTAACAGCATTGAGATAACTCTAGAGAATGAGATTATAAAGGTGTTTTACCCATAGAATCGAAGGCAGTCTCTCTGAAGCGAATGGCCACAGGATGCAACACGATTCGCAGTCGCATGATTTGAAAAGCTAAGTTCCAGAAACTTTCCAAAGGACAGTCCCCATGCCGCATCAGACATAACTACTCTACGAGTAGCAGGTGGGACTCCATCTACATGTGCACATCGTAAGCAGCGATGCCACATCCATATCTTCCCATCTTGTTCACCAGGAAGCTTCATGGAAGAGAGACGCCTAACATTGATAGTAAGATTTCCATTCTGATGAGAATAGCAGAGGACATGCGCATCAACAAGCTCCTTACATGTTCTACAGCTGGAAGTCTGTATACAAGTGGGAAACAGAAAAGGTGGTAACTTTTAAACTGCTTAGGTCATGCCATTTAAGAAAGACGAAAAAGGTGGAAGCACATTTTTAGATGAAAGAGCTACCTGATCGAAAAGATCATCCTTCAGATATTTTCCGAGAGGCTTATCAAAGGATCCATAGAACTTAATACGCAAGAGTCGCGAGCGTTCACATACTGATTCTTTCAAAACACAACGGCTTGAAAACGAGACCAGTATGCTCTGATGAGAATCTGCTGCTGAGAAATATTCACTAGAACCATCATCTTCATCGAATCTTTCATGTTGTGGCAAATCATGGGTGTTCACTAATTGGTTCTCTTCTTCACCTCTCGGTGTTTCAGGGATTTCTCTACTTAAGCACACGGTGGGTTCATGCAACTCATCTAACTGATTCACCAAATTATCGGATAAATTTCCATTCAGGGCATCAGATTGCTCAGTGTCAACTTCACAAGATATCATGTCAGAAGACGATGGGAATATCTGACTCGGATCAAAATCCTCAGACAACGATTCACAAACCTCATGCTCTGGCATCGGCACCGTATTTTCATCTTCTAGTGCAGCTGTATCATTAAAAGCTTGACCATCTTTTTCTGTAGGAGAATACGTTACTAGGGAAATGCCATCATCAATCATTCTCCTTTCTGATGCTGACCGAACCATCCCCGGTTGCTTCAGTCTAATTTTAGGCAGAGAAGCACCTTCATCCGCAAGGAATGAAGTTTCCAATGACAAGTGATAAGCTGCAAATACTGCGTACTGAATAACATGCTTAACCTTCTTTAGCTCTTCGCGACTACTGCCCCTGAGCACAACCTACACAAGTTTCAGAAACGTCTGGTCAGAGATTGAGGAGCCACAAAGATCCAAGCTTTACGAAAAAGAAAATAGCTTTGAAATCAATAAATGAGCATACCGTGCAGCCTAGGCGCCTAGGACACCCTTCAAAGTACATCAAGGTCCTAGAAGGTTTTCTGTTTGACTGATTACCAGCTTCATGTAGCTCCAGCACTTTCTCAGTCCGGAATAGCTCACAGTGCCCCACTCGAGCTGTAGAAATACTATCTACTGAGGGACAAAGAACAGCACCGGTGCAACGGGCTATTTGGTCCAGCAACGACCTTTTCACATTGAGCACCAACGAAATTTCCTTCTCTAGAAGGTATTGCTGAGCATATGAAGATACACTTTTCTCTACCAGGAGAACATTAGGACGAAGGGACTCAATTTTAGCTATAATCGCCTTGAGATGATCATTTTCCTGTCCGACACAAAAAAATTCAAACAGTTTCATTCAGCTTGTTTATCAGAGCTTATAAGCAGCCATCCTTAAAGAATAGCAAAAGACCAAACCTGTTGAAGCAACGTGTTAAAGGACGCTAACTGGCCTGCAGCTCTCTGATACTCAAGAGACCCAGCTAAAAGCAGCACCCTTGGGTTTTTGTACTGTGACGTCATCCGCTTGTGAGTTATGTTCTTGCTACACACTATTCCCCTGATGAGGATGCTGCAAAAACAAGCTATTCAATTAGTAATGATTAGAGAGTGGCAACAGTAAGAAAACAAGAAATTTAAAAAGGTAATTCTACCTCTCGTTTTGATTTCCAGATGCTACACATTTTATTTTGACATAATTCCCAGGATCCATACTGCCGCCTGCACGAGTGTCTGGCTTTACAAAGTTTGCAGCCTGCCACGCAAGAGCAGTGACAATATCCAGCCAGTCACCGGCACTGCCATCATCACATGGACTAAGTTCCTCTCCACGTAATAACTCTGCAACAAGAGCTCGGAAATGGTCATGCACCACTGTTCGAAGAGGTTCATTACTGTTTTCTCCCAGTTTCTCTCTTGTAGGAACGTGGCTAGAAAAGCTACTACTCAATGAAAACTCGGTAGCAGAGTCCCCAATATCATCATCTTCGTCATCATATGCAAAGTAATTACTCTCAGCATCATCATTCTCATCTTCAGGCGGTGGAGGATACCAGATGCGGCCGTTGTTCTCAAAATCCAACGGCTGTTGTTGCAACATACCCTCCTCCTCGTGACTCTGAGCCTCCTGATCTGGCTTCGTTAAATCACCAGCCATGAGTTGTTGTTCTTGATGATGATCAAAAGAACCAACAGTAGGGCTCAGGTCTTTCGCGTGCTGTACAAAGCGCCCAAGAGGACTAAAATTGTTCCTTAATGGACTGTCGTGCGGACTTGACCCAGCAGAAGATTTACAACTAAAAAGCTCATGTCTAGCACTAACACTACCCGACTCTATATCTGAACTGTCCTGATAGTATTCACTCGAAGGGCTTAAGAACTGTTTACCACAATTCCTACCTTCTTCTTCCTCTCCCCTGCAGAACACACACAACTCAAACATGAGACACACTTACTCCAACATGTTCAATGACTCATAATTGACTATAAAGGTCAAAACTTTTTCAAAGAGAATCAAGATTAAGCAATGATACCTACCTGCTAGGATAGCAACGGATAGAGGCGATATTCCTGCAATCACGGATTTCAAGACTCGATGCAAGATTCTCGCTTTGTGCGAGGGAAGGCGGATCGGGGCTATCTCGAGGATGAACCTTATCATAGCTCTTTCCCTTTAACTCACGAACCTCACCATCACATTCTCTGCACATCTTCTTGCAATCTTCTTGCCTCTCCTCTGTATCAGATTCAGAGTAACAGCTCTTGCACCACAAACGGCCACAACTAAGGCAGCAGTAGCCATGGAACAAACCACCGTCGAGCTTGGTTCCACAGTCATGGCACATTTTGGAAACGATTGGCATAGTTTTGAAGTCTTTAGAAGAAGAGAAATACAAAGAAGAATCGCTTGAATCCGAAGTTATCCAAGACCTAACCTTATCAATTAGATCTAGCAGTGAACCATCAGGTATTCCCATAAACAATCAAATATTCTTACTTACAAGAAAAAACCCTCTCACTCTCTCTCTCTCTATTTCCCCTCAGATTATTAGTGGAAACTAAAACAAAATAAAATCTGTGACTTTGATTTTTTTTTTTTTGTAAGAAGTATGAAAATTAAAAAAAAAAATCCCCCACAACAAAAATGGTGGGTAGATTTGGATGAGAAACAGATTCTTTCTTTCTTTCCTTTTTGTTCTTTTTTTCAAGCAAAAACGAAGTCCTACATCAATTCCAAATATCAAACCCTAGATCAAAACCCCCCAATTTCAACTACTAGCCAATCTTTTTTAAGTAATCATAGACCAAGAAACAGATCCGATACCAACAACCCAAGAAAACTTTATTAGATAGAATATCAAGAAGAAGAAAAAAAAAAGGACCGAGAACGATTCTTGACTTTCTCCTCGATCACAGCTTTAAAAATCCGGAGAAATAAAAGGAACAAAATAAAAAGAAAGAGTGAAATTGAAGAAGAAGAAGAAGAAGAAAAGGGAAAGTGAAGAAAAAAATGGAAAAATTAAAGACTGGGCAAAATGAGAATCAAAAGGAGGAAGAGAAGAAGTACAGAGAAGGTTCCTTTTCTACCGGATTTAGCTCGCATCTCGAAAACCACTTTGAAAGAATTTTCTTTCTTAATCTTCTCTTCTAACACATAATTTATATTGCTTGCTTTGCTTCTTCTTCTTCTTCTTCTTCTGTATATTTTTCTTCTATTTTTATTTTCTTGAATTACAGATGATCCATCCAGCTATGGTAGATTTCTAGAGAGAAGCGATTCCTTATACTGCTCCGCCATTAACTGTTCACACCTTTTCTCTCTCCTCTGTTCCCTTGCCTTTTTTTTTATTTGCTATCCAATTTTTTATAATTCCAACTAGGGTTTATACACATTTTTTATAAAGAGATTATTTGATTTTAAAATTTAAACTGAGTTTGATAGTTTTTTAATTATTTTTTAAATGGATTTGAAAATGAAAAACATGACAAAGACCTCAAAGTCGTTTTTTTCTTTTATTTGACAAGACAGAGACTCCGTCTTCAAGGTTCCGTTTTCAATTGGTCACCATTTTTGCAACGGCGTTTTCTTTTCTTTTTTTTTTTCTTTTTAGTTAAACTTTTTTATATACTTTTACTGTATAAACCCTTTTCTGGTGAACTCTTAATAAATTTCTTAAATATTCACGTTTCGTTTTTTGTTTTTTGGGGTTTTAATATTCTCCTGTACGTCAAAATTCTTCTCTTTATTTTTGTTTTGTTACTCTTTTTCCAACAGCTGATTACCTATTTAGATCTTATTAATGATCATATTTAATACAGAAGATCCCATATTATTCCTAAGATTTTGAATTCACATTAAACGTGTGAATCTGGTCTTGAATAGAAAAAAGTAATTAGTCGTTCTGATAACAATAAATGATTACGGGTACGCTTTTCAGCAAAAAATACACACATATAATTGGATAATGAGAAGATAGCGATAATCGAATTATTATAAAAGCTTGTTTGGGAAGATAGCGATAATCGAATTATTATAAAAGCTTGTTTGGGAAGAGTTAAAATGTAGCCAGAATAGTTTGTATATATACTAACTTTGACTAGATTCTGTGTTAACGCTCAACTAATAGACTAATAGCAGAAGAGTCTAGATTAAATAGTTAACAACTTTAAACAGTTGTCCTTTAGTGGTGGGGGGTTTATACGGGAAGGTGTAATTTTTTTTCTTAAAGGGAGTACGTATTTAGGTAAGAATTAATCTCTTAATTTATGATATAATATAAGAAATGAAGGAAAAAAAATGAAAAAAGTGAATTTCTTTGGAGATTTACATCTTCATTGTCACGCGCTAGTGTCTTGATCGTGTGAGACACGCGTCGTTGACAAAAGGCCATACGAGTAAAGTAAAACCATCCGTTTTGTGTAGCTTTTAGGTGGGTCAAGCTGATCCCTAACTCATCCTTTTATTACTTTCTTAGGCTAATTAAGCTTATTATTCTAACTAGGATTGACTCAGCGCTTCGCGCAGATTTAAACGTATGTTCTGCTATTTCTTAAAAAGAATTTGTTTGATAAATTTCTTTTCTTTGTTTTTTTTTGTCATTTTTTCTTGTCATAGTTTCTTTTCTTTGTTTAATAAATAATTTTTATGGTTTGCATTGTGTTAACAATGCCTACATTCTATTAGTTATTTTTAATAGTGTTTCTATATAACAACAAATTTTTCTTTCTTTATCTTCATTTTCTCACATTCTCATAATTTGTTATTTTAATTTTTTTGTCTGCATCTTTATACTAAAATTTCTTTTATTTTATTTATTTGTACTAAATATACTAAATATGAATATAAATATATATATATATATATATATTTTAAATATATGTTAATATTAAATTTTGTGGGTATAGATTTTCATCATATTTTATTTTTCAACAGCTAATTCATCATATTTTTTTCTTATTTTCTTGATTTTATTATACTTTTTCTCCATCATCATATTAAGATAATATATTATTTTTCATTTTCGGTCTCCTTTCTCATCTTTAACATTTTTGCCTTCGTATTTTCTTAAATTCCTCTTCATCAGCTTGAGTTCTTCTTCCTCTCTTTCTTTATCCTTCTTTTCTTCATCTTCATCTTCTTCAACTTCTATATCTTTTCTTTTTTTTGTTTTTCTTCATCTTTTTTTCTAATTTTGTTTTTCTTATATTTACTTATCTCGTGTATGTATTTTTCATCTTCTATTTCATCTTCATCTACATGTTTTTTTTTATATTTTGATTTTTTCATCTTCTTTTTTTTTCTTATTCTTTTTCGTCGTCTTGAGTTTCATTTTCATCATCATCTTTTTCTTTAACTACTTTTTCTTATTATTTTTTCTAGCTTTTTCTCTGCTTCTTTTTGATAAAAATAATGATTATAAACAATGTGTGAATTAATGAAGTCATTAACTTTAGTATTAGTGTTTTTATTTTATTTTTAAATGAAAATGATACTATTTTAAAGTGTATGAATTAATTGAGTCATTCATTGTAATTTTCTTCTTATGCTATGCTGATGTGGACACCCTAAATGGAGAGAAAACTCTCCCATTATATAATATATTGCAGCACTTATTGTATAGTCTCTTTCGAGATAGCTGATATTTTAAAAGACTAATAAATAATATAGGTTTTCTATCCATTGTAAACAAAAATTTAACTATTGTAACTAAAACCTTTACTTATTCAATTTCCTAATGATGAAATATGTAAGTTTGAAAATAGCTTGCAAAATTGTTGATTGACAACTAGTAGTTTTGATCAATCACATCCATTAACCACAATAAAATAGAAAAAAAACGTAAGCTTGTTTTATAGTATTAAGAAAAAGTACTGTATAGATGATATAAGTTTTTACTGTGGAAATTTGATTAAATAATGATGATTATTGAATCCAATATCTGGAAAATTAATTCAAAACACCATAGCCGGATTGAGAACATAATCTATCCACGAATGTTCATCTTTATCATTGTTTTCGTAGGTTATATCTTTTCATGATTAAGTATTATATCTTGCAAATAATTTACTGTTTCAAAGAAATACTAGTAACGTCTTGTAATATGACACGCATTTATATGAGATAATTATATTCAGATATTATAGAAAAAAAGGTGGAGAGTTAAAAATTTAAAAGAAAATTGTAAATATAGGACAAAAAAAAATAAAGAGTTTTGTCCCCTTAGTATTTTTTTGAGTTTTGTCAATTTTGGACAAAAATGATTTTATTAAATATTGTTATATTTCAAAATAAATAATTATAAATACATTTAAATTTCGTAAATTCTAAAAAAGGAAAGAATATTATTCTAAAACATCATTTAAGGAAATACATATATTTAAAATATATTTATTAATATGTTCTAGAAAACGTTTTCTACATTTCTAGAGTTTTATAGAATTTGATTTCTACTATATGGTATAAGATCTACCGAGTATAGAATACATATTTTACTATTTGTTTTGTTTTCTATAACATCGTGTAGAATACGTTATCTAGAATTCGTAATATATTCTGCACATTCTAGAATATGTATTCTAGAAATCGTTATGTATTCTATATTTTCTAGAATTAGACTTCTACTTATTTGTCTTCGTTCTAGTGAATATAGAATCCGTATTCTACTAAACGGTTAATAAAATCTGAAAAAATCTAGGATCAGGTGTTATCCAACAAAAATTAAATATTTGAAAATATTTTATTTTTCTTTTCTGTTTTTCACGTTTTTAACATATTTATGAAGATTTTTTTCTTTTCTTCTTCTCTTTGACGGCATTTTCACGAGATTTCCACCCTAATTACAGTTTTCTGTGTTTCTGTTCTGGTTATTCAATTATGGTGCATATCTATGTTATCTGTGGTATATGGAGATCGATTCTCAATAAGAATTGGGTTTTTGAAGTCGATGAAGAAAAAAGAGGTCGATTAGTAACTTTGGAATCTAGTACGACTCTGGCTGAGTTAACAGCTATGGTGTTAGAGGACTTTGGAATTGTCGACCACAGTGCCGAGTTCAGTTATCTACCGAGCAATTTGGTTGACAACTTAAGCTCTCCACCGGTGATTATCACAAATGATCGGCAGCTGAAAAATTTCGTTGATTATGCAAAAAAAAATGTGTCTACACGTCTTTGTGTGTCGTTTACATCGCAAGTACAGAATCAAAGTGTAAAATTTGATTTGAATGACGAGCCCTATGATTCACATAGTGCTGAAGACGTCGATTACACTGTGATAGGAAAGTCAGAAAAAGTTTTTACTGATCAGCGGAAACATGTCTCAAAAACCAATTTGCGTGAAAGCCAAGATGAGGTCGTCTCTGGATATGATGTCCTGATTTGCAATACTGAAGAAGTAAGTAACAAGGGAGGTCGGTTTTGGATGGTTGAAGCAGTAACGAAGGGACAAAATTTCAGAAACAAAAGCGAACTGAAAGCAACTTTTGAAATCTGTGCTATGAAGCATACAAAGTTACCCAAAATCAATTTGGGATTTTAAATCCTAGTATTGAGATTGAACAAAAGATAGAGTGAATAGATTGAACAGGTTACCAATTGGATGAGAAGATTGATGATAATTGAAGGACTCTGCTGGAAACTCGATTGAGAGAGAGCGGAGAAAACGATGGTTCCAATTTTGGGGAAAACGATGGTTCCAATTTTGGGGAAGACGATGGTTCCAATTTTTGTCTCGTAATTGTATTGTGATTTTTTTTTAATTTCTATTCGTAATTATATTAATATGAGAAATTTCATTTTTTAGGGGCAAAAGAAGATTATAATTGACATAAGTAGTAAAGAGACAATTTTTTTTTAAAAAAGTACTAGAGGGACAAGTTCTTCTAATTTTTGTCTTAAATTTCCAATTTTCTCAAAATTTAATGACATATAAGCAACAAACTTGAAATGTTGCATTTCACGGGCTTTTTCACTTTTTATGTCATTTTGTAAACAATGGTTCTAATAATAACATATAAAAGAATTAAAGTTGTAATACATGAATTGTTTACAAAGTACTTGAACCAAAAATATTTGACAAAGAACTTGAACCAAAATATATCAAAATTTATAAAATATGAATACCCATTCTATAACAAATTATATACTTTAATTTTTGACCAACAAACTTGATATAATAGCTAAACACACTAGAACAATACTCTTTTGACAAAATTATAGAAATCATAAGACAGTTTCAAAAACTTATTTTAAAAGGTGGGTGAGAAGCCCCCATCTCGTTTTAGTTTTGGGACCTTTTTGAATTTCGTTTTTTTAACTTTGTCATACTTTTTTATAAGAATGACTATGGCTTGAACT